TCCACTCTTCTTGGGAAATGAAACAGTTCCTTCTTTTCTTTCTTTAAGGAATCTATAAATTGTTGCTTCTCCAACCCCTGTCATATTTGAACACATGTTAACGATTTCACGAACATTACAAGTGCTTCGTGTACATTTAATATTATATTTTTCTCTCTTAGACTGAAGGCACCTTTAAAACTACACTTAACCGGGATAAAACCTGTTGTCGACGTCATTTTTAAATGCAAATAACAAAATATCGACACCAAAAACGTAGGTAGGTAAGACATGTACAATATACATCTACAAACTAAATGGAAGATGCAAACAATTTCTAATTTATATTATTGGAATAAGCTGTAATGTGGCATCTTCTTCTTCAAGTGCCGTCTTCGTTCCGAAGTTTGGCTATCATCAAAGCTATGCGTATTTTTGATGCTGCAGATCTAAACAGTTGGTAATTGGTGCAATTGTACCATTCTCTCAAGTTTTTCAACCATGAATGCCTTCTTCTTCCTATAGATCTCTTTCCCATTATCTTTCCCTGTATAATCAATTGCAGCAACTGGTATTTATCTCCCCTCATAACATGTCCCAAATATTGTAGTTTGCGCTTTTTAACAGTAAGTATCAGCTCTTTCTCTTTCCGTACTCTCCGCAAAACCTCCACATTTGTTACTTTCTCTGTCCAGGGTATTCTTAATATTCTACGATACATCCACAACTCAAATGCTTCTATCTTTTTGGTATCGATCTTTTTCAATGTCCATGTTTCCATCCCGTAGAGGAGAACTGACAACGTAACATCTCAAAAGGCGAATTTTAAGTTTTAGACTTAGATCTCTTCCGCAGAACACCTTTTTCCATTTAGTAAATGTGGCTCTAGCTTTCTCTATTCTGGTTCTGATTTCTTCAGAGCAATCATTATTTTCGTTGATAACAGTTCCCAGGTAATTATATAAGGTAATATATATAGGTAATGTGGCATAAACACTACTTAAACTATCATAAGTGAAGCCTTATCAGTAATTCCAGTTAATCGTTCAAAGAAGGTATTATTTTTGTGTCAGGCGATAACTTGTATAGAAAACAATAATCACCTTTAAATTACTGTTTAAATTAATTTATTTCGTGAAACATTGAATTCTCTCGTTAATCACCCGTGTATAATTAAAAATAATCGTGTGGCATATATACCGACGTTTTTTACGCACAAAAAAGGTATAGTGAGATTAGTGGACATTTATTTTACAGAAGATTTTTTAAAAGATAATGAATTGTTGACGGCACCTTAAAATATTAATTTTTTTTATTTATTTCAAAACAAGTATAGGGTGACGCCTATGGTTTTTTGACCTGTTCAGGATTTGCATACATAATGTGCTATCAATATGATGAAAAATGACTATAAAGCATTTATTCAAACAGATCCACGTTTTAGAAATATGTTTGTCTTATCTAATTTAAGCAGGTAATAATTTTGTTACGTCATGTTTTTGTTTTGATGAACAATTTTTAAGTGATATATCGCGATTTCTTCACAGTTTTTATAGCAATAAACACTTCAAAGGATATTTTAGAAGTTTGAATATCACCAAATTCATCTTAAAACATGCGAAAATGCTTTAGGACTTCATCGCATTAAAAATGTAGTTCATAAAATTGCTAATTTACCAATGATTAAGAGAAAAATACATATCTATATATGACAATAATAACATAATTATTTAAATTATTTATGGTGATCTCAACGCAAAAATAGGAAAAGAGCAACAATACCTACCAACTATAGGTAAGTACAGCCTTCTTGAGGTATCCAATGGCAATGGCAACTTCCCTTAGCATGGTCATTGCCAGCACATGCTTCCAACGCAAAAATATTCATAAGGGAACGTTGAGATCTCCAGATGGGGTTACAGTAAACATAATCGATCATGTTATTATTGACTCTAGACATCACTCAGACGTAATAAACGTATGCAGCAGACGAGGGGCAAATGCAAACTCGAATCACTACCTAGTGGAAAGTAGAATGAGAGCCAGAATCTCAAACATTAAAGATGAAAAGGGATCCAAAATTGAAAAATATGAAATAAAAAACTTAGCAGACAACAGCCCAAGGATATAAACAGAGAATGGGAAGCGTGTAAAAACATCACACAAGACGCGACCAAAGAGACCCTGGGTGTAGAAAAAAAGCTCAAATCAACTGAAGGACAGTGGTTCGATTAAGAGTGTCGGAACATAACAGAGAGGAAAAATAATGCATATCAACGACTACAACAACATAAAACACGAAAGACAGAGGAGGAATATAATAATGCTAAGGAGGGAAGAGAAGAAAATACATCGCAGAAAGAAAAGAGAACACATAGAAAAAGAACTCCAAGAATTGGAAGAACTAAATAAACCATCAGAAACCAGAAAATTCTACCAAAAACTTAACGAAAGTAGAAAGGAATTTAAACCAAGAACAATGATGTGCAGAGACAAAGAAGTAGATATAGTCAACAGAGTGAAATACTACAAAGATGGACAGAATTCTTCAAAGACAAGTTTGAAAAAAACGAAGATCCACTATTTGATGGAATTATACTGGATCAAACGGATACCAGAGAAACAACCTCCCAAAACAGTAGCTGAAATGCAAGAAGCAGTTACCAGATTGGAAAACAAGTCACCTGGATTAGACAACATTAGCGCAGAATTAGTAAAGGAAGGCGGAGAATCCCTATTGAATGCGATACACGAACTAATAGTGAACATATGGAATAATAAACAACTGCCACAAGACTGGAATACCGGAGTAATTATCTAACTACATAAAAAGAGAGATCAGCTTCAATGTAAAAACTACCGGGCAATAACGCTACTAACTGTGACATATAAAATACTGTCAAATATTGTGTATGACCGATTGAGACCATAGACCCCACAAATAGGTGGGGGATATCAATGTGGTTTCTGCAGGCAGGAGTCCACAATATATCAGATCTTCGTCTTGAGGCAAAGACTAGTGAATTTAATATACACATATCATCTTTTCATTGATTTTGAGAGTACCTATAACAGCATCCATCGAGACTTTCTGATTCATGCACTGAAATAGTTTAATATTCCAACTCATCTCATTGATATAGTAAAAGAAACACTTAAAGTACAAAGCAAAATTCGAATTCAAAACGCACTAACAATCCATGTGAGAACGGGCTTACGACAGGAAGATGCCCTATCCTGTTTTCTATTCAACATCACATTAGAAAAAATAATTAGAGAGTCAAAAGTCAACACCAGAGGAACAATAATAACAAAAAGTGTACAAATATTGACATTTGCAGATGATGTTGAATGTTGAATAATGCAATAGAAAGAGCGGCGCAAAACAGTGGCCTCAACATTAATGAAATAAAAACCAAATATATGAAGGCCAGCAAATCGACAGGCCAAAGAAACCTACAGAATCTGGCAATACGAGACTCTAACATCGAAAGCGTGAAAAGTTTTACATATCTAGGTTCACTAGTTACCGCAGATAACAATGTCAGTGAAGAAGTTAAGAGAAGAATACATATCGCTAATAATACATAAAATGTACTAATTAAACATCTAAGATCTAACAACCACAAGAAAAACCAAATGCACAATATACAAAACCTTGATACAATGGTCCTTGTATATGGATCAGAGACATGGACACTGTCGAAAAGCGATGAGAACCTATTAGGTACGTTTGAACGAAAAATACTTAGACATATATAAGGGGGTGAAAAACAATGACATATGACGCAGAAGATATACTTTTGAACTATACACAGCATACAATGAACCCGAGATCATAACATCCATAAAGATCGGACGTTTGCGCTGGATGGGCCATGTTGAACGGATGTAGGAGAATGAAACATCAAAACTTATAATGAGGCAAACACAGACTCTTATTACTAAAAACTGTAAGAATAGTATAAAGAAAGTATATCTTATGGCAAAAAGAGAAATCATACGATTTCTACCTAGCGAAATCGAATTCAAATATAAGCCGCGGTGCTCCCTAAAACTTGCGAAGCAAACAGCTTTATGAATGAATCGGCAAGGGAGTCTAAAAATTGCACTCCAAATGCCGTTCATCATGGCCTATATTCGTAGTGAATTCGATTTCTGGTACTCCAAATGAAGTAAATAAACAAAACAAAATGACAGTATTAGATTTTGATTTGATACAGAGCAGCAACAAGCCAGCAACGAGCCAAACTCAGTACGGTATAGCTACTACTCCATATCAAACCAAAATATTTTCCCGTTTTTACTGAGGAGATCTAAAGAGATCGAAATACGCATAATATGCGGCTTGTTTCTGCTCTGTATCAAATCAAAATCTAATACCGTCATTTTGTTTTGTTTACTTACTTCATTTGCAGTACCAGAAATCGAATTCACTACGAATATAGGCCATGATGAACGGCATTTGGAGTGCAATTTTTAGACTCCCTTGCCGATTCATTCATCAAGCTGTTTGCTTCGCAAGTTTTAGGGAGCACGGCGGCTTATATTTGAATTCGATTTCGCCTGGTAGAAATCGTATGATTTCTCTTTTTGTTCTTAGATGGCGTAGTTACGTCCGTAAATAGTTATTTTTAATAACTATAATCTACGACGGGAAAATATTTTGGTTTGATATGGAGTAGCAGCTATACCGTACTGAGGAGATCTAAAGAGATGGAAATACGTATATGCGGCTTGTTGCTGCTCTGTATCAAATCAAAATCTAATACCGTCATTTTGTTTTATATCTTATGGATTTACGTGTTATGATTGGGACATTTCAAAAGAATTATAATCTCAACCCATTCGTGTGTACATTACAACCGTAGTAGTTCACTATTCCTTAGAGAGCATGCATTATATTTCTTGTCATTTCTTGTAATGCAACTTGAGATACGGTAACATTTGAAAATGGACCAGTTAACATATAAATAACATTGAATCGTTTATCCCCCATTCCTGAACTGAACAAATCTAACCTGGTATAAACGATAACACCTTATCGTTACAAAAATCCCTATTATTACAACAGTCCGAAGACATGGCAGAGTATTCGGGATTATTGTTAACGCCATTAACGCTATCATTGCAATATTGTGTACTTCTGTTTGTATTCACGATTACCTCGGGAAGATTGCGAGTGTCCAAACATCTATAAAAAATACTAGGGGTCAGAAATACAAAGCGCAGCAAAATGCAAAATGACATCTCAAATGATCTATAAATTGTTAAATATACTGTGTATGGTACATGAACGACTTATTACTAACAATATTTACAAAGAATGGTTGAAAAGTACTCGGTTGATAGAATTATTAATATTTTTATCATCACAATAATAATTACTAATTAATCAAAAGACTCATATTTTTTGTACACACTTATGACAAGTCGAACGAAAATGTAAAAAAGTATTTTTGAAGTGTGTATATTTTAGGCAATTCCTAGCTGAGCGCTTTCGGCTTTACAAAGCCATCATCAGAGCTATGCTACAATAAAATGTTCTTATAAGTACTAATTGGTAAAGATTATAATTTTTTAACTTACGTCAATTTTTTAAATACCACTACAAAGGAGAGATCTCATTTCCTTATATTTCAGAATTATGATTTTTTTAGTTGTTGAAATTCTTAAAACATATAAAAAACATATAAAAAGCCGACACTGGACTTCACAAACACGTTAAAACAATTGAAAAAAATTTTTTGTCATGGTACGGGTGTAAGAACCCGACCATTGATTGATGTGAGGAGGTAGACAGAATAGAACTAATGAAATCAAATGTCGGTCCTTTTAAACGATTTTTCAAAAGTGACAGTTGACAAATGTCATATATAGGAAATAGAGATTGTTTTTTAATTTCTTACAAAATTATTTAATAGTTTGGAATTACTAATAGTCATCAAAGACTTTCTAAAAATTAAGTTTTTAAATTAAATTTTATGTGTTCATCACATCATACAGAATGACATTAGTTTGTAAATTCACTCAAGTCATTGCTCAAGGTCAATGTATGTTCAATCTGACAGCCATCCTTAAGAAACAAGGGCTCAAATTGTTCAACAATAATATAAAGAAGAAACATGGTATTAATGTTACGTTATCTGATACTTAAGTGTATTGAGAATTGTATCTCTTGATGGAAATTTGTAAGAAATTTGCATAAAAAATTTTTTTAAGAATGTATTTTCATGTTTCAATTAAGAATAACTGTCAAATGAATTACAAAATGTTGTAAATTTCTAATAAAGTTTAAAATTTGTTTAAAAATATAAAAGTATGAAAAAATATATAATAAGATTGCATGAGGTCACCCTTCTTCCTCTAAAGTCTCCCATAATAATTTAAAAAGAGGTTTATAATTGCAATTGAGGTTGATTTGTGTGTTTAAGCAACAATCAGGGTTTAGTTTCATTTCTTTGGATATCTGAAGATCTTCCAAGAGATTCATGAGTCTAAAGTTTTTATTGGGAATGTTGTGTAAAATTTTACTGTTTTCAGAAGGAGAAAAGGAATGATTATTAAATTTAATGTGATATCCAAAGTTTGATTTTTCTGGGTTATTGAGGTGTTCTTTGATTCTTTGATTCAGAGTTCTCATTGTTCTACCTACATAAGTCATATTACAGTCACCACAGGACAGCTTGTAAATACCACTTCTGTTTAGTTTGTCAACTTTGTCTTTGGTCTTGCTGAAGATGGACTTGATGTTATATTTGGTTTTAAAGGAGATGTTTAAGTCACTGATTTTATTAACAAGTACCCTTGAAATTTTTTCTGAAATTGGTCCTAAGTAAGTTAAGGAACCATATATGGAAGTAGTGTTGGATTTTTTATCAACATTAAAAGCTTGGTTTAGTCTCTTTTTGAGTATAGATTTTCTAATGACTTTATCAACAGTAGTAGAAGGAAAACCATTGTTGTTTGCTATCTGTTTAATGATGGAGATTTCTTTATTGTAATTTTCTTGAGACATAGGGATATTAAGAAGTCTGTGGACATAACATTGAATAGCTGCCATCTTGTGTTGAAAAGGGTGATTTGAGGATGTTGGTATCATATGGTCAGTTTGAGTAGGTTTTCTGAATATTGAAAATTCTAGTGTAGGCAAAGAAGAAGAGGAGGAAGCATTCTTTTTGATAGTTAGGTCTAAAAAGTTGATAATGTTGTTGCTTTCTACTTCTAAGGTAAAATTAATTGCAGGATGTAGATTATTAATTATTGACAAAATATTGTGAGGTTCTGAAGGTGGACGTTCTATAAAGGCTAAAATGTCATCCACATATCTGTACCATAGGATTATTTGTGGTTGAGAATAAACAAAGTTAGTTTCGAGAGAATCTAGAAAAAGATCTGCAAGTAGAGGAGATAAAGGATTTCCCATTGCTAAACCCTCTGGTTGTCTATAAATTTTATCGTTAAAGATAAAGAAATCTTGGGAAAGGCAAAATTGGAGTAGAGAAGTAATTTGTGAACATTTATTTTGGTCAATGGTTTTTCTTTGATGGGCATTTGGTCACAGTAACTCAACTACTCAACGCAGCCAGAGGTGAAAACCAAATGCCAGGACAGGGATTCACGTCCAACAGCTCAGAACACTAACGCGTCTGAGCTGTTGGACGTGAATCCCTGTTATGGTATTTGGTTTTCACCTCTGGCTGCGTTGAGTAGTTGAGTTACTGTGACCAAATGCCCATCTTGGTAGTTAGTATTCGCCTCTGGTTGCGTTGACTAACTGAGTTACCGTTGCTAACTACCCATCTTCCTGTCTTTTGTTTTCTTTTTCTTTGTTCTCCTGAAGAAGCTACATACAATTGTAGCGAAACGTCGAGATGAACCCACTTTTGGGTCACTCACAAATGACACGGTCCAAACCCGGAAGACGAATAAACTATAATTCTGACTCTGTCCGTGGAAGCCTACGATTTCATTTGAGCTTATAGTAGTTCATTTTTAGAATCAACACTTCAATATATCACAAGAAAAATTGAAGACATGAAATCTCAAATAATAAACATGGAAACTAATAAAAACTCTTAGAACATACAATAAGGAACATCGAAGTATTTCGCCAATTGGAGCAGATAAATGGAAGGAATATTTATATTCCTTCCATTTGTCTGTTGAATGGTGATTTGACGTGGACCTGTTGAATGGCCAGCGAGGTCACCAGATTTCAATCCTTTGGATCATTTTATGTGGTGCCATCTGAAGAATGTTGTGTATCAAACGAAACCAGCAAATATTCAAGAATTACAACAGAGAATTCGAACAGCAATAAACAATATTTCTCAAGAGACAATAAACAAGGTTCAACAAGAATTTGTACAACGTTTGGGTTACTGTTAAATACAGAAAGGGCTGCAGTTCGAACATTTATAAAGTCATATATTTCATCATATTCTGTCCGCTAGACAATAAGTATTTTTGATAATATTGTGAATTTAACTAGCGCGTTACTTTATCATCATTTCTGTTTAAAATTTGTCCAATAATACAGTTTCGTCATCCTGGTAGTATCAAGTTAGGAATACGAATGACTGATTGTATTATTCATAAATTATATTACTAATTATTCCAACATCTTTTATTCGTAAATCATACAGTAAAACTAAAAATTGTTGTTTTGCAAACGTTCTGCTCACGTTAAACAAACATTGCAACATTACACAACTTGAAATTTCTTTTCTGTGACTAAAACATTAATTTCTATTATAATGTTTGAAGAGATAAAGTTGTTTGTGTGAATATTTTAAGTATGTTTGTTATCTGTATTGCCTATACGATAGCCGGTATATATTCGCATAGTAATCTGTATTCGTTTAAAACTTAACGATGTTGATTAGCAACTAATTACACTTCATTCCATGATTTTCGTATCCGGTCTTGTTTGTCTGTAGGGACTGGACATTGAAATGCTTTTATAAAATTGAGTCTTTAACGTACATAGGGAAAGAATGTATCACTTTGTTTTTTCTAATCGATTAATCGAAGTCTTTGGTCAATTTAAGATTCACTATAAATTTCTTAGGTATTCTGGCCATAGTCTTGAAGTCTTCTGTTTACTGGTTGGTTCAAGCGTTACCTTTTCATCCTAACCTTATAAGATGTATTTTAAGCCTGAAAACACCATCTAGGTATTTGTGTACAGCTGAATGAATCTCGGATTTTTTTTTGCGTCAAACAGCGTAAAAGTGTTATTTGGTACTCCTAGGTTTTTCATTGCTTTGAACATTTTTCTTCTATTTAAAAGGTTGTTGTATAGTCATGCTACGGAAATACGGGAAAAAATAATTGATAAGTGGAAATATGGGAAAATAATTGATAAATCATTATTGAAAGAAACGAAAATAAATATTCAAAAGGTACATACTTATTTACTTAGTTTTGTTATTACTTTGTAGCACTATTTTCAAGTGCTAGGTTAAATAGAGTAGTTGATAGCCAATCTCGTACTATTATTTTTTTTTGCTCTTATATAAAAACATAAATACATAAATAAAGATAAGAGCGATATTTTGAATCATAAATTGTACCGGTTTGAAATGGCAACTTACTTCTTAAATAAAGTACTTTTATTGGAGTATTCAGTGCGTAATAGAAATATCGTAAAAAACAGTTTATTACTCAATTAAAATTTATTATTATTCAAACAAAAATATAGATAGCTCATGATGTGTCGCTATTTAATTGTCAAACATAAACAACGAAAAGTGATCTATGTAGTTTCGATTTTGTTTGTATTTATGGGTGCCATTTATCTTAATTAAGTGATTTAATCTATATTGGCACAAGATACTTAAAGCAAATGTTTGTTTTAAAATTGGTTTAAATATAGATTTTAGAAAACTATTTTATAATTACCATCATTTTGCTTTCGATTGTTTGGCTGTTATTTTTTCACAAGCGAATTTAGTTTGTAATTTGTTTTGTGAAAAATCAAATTACAGAAAAAATTGGTTTGGTTCGCTTTCTGATTTCTGTAACGCTTATAATGTCACATGTTATTTTTCTTCAAATAGTACTTTTATTAAATTTTCTTTCGATTTTATTCATTTGTTAACCTTGTGTTTTGTTTTACTATTTTTCTTCTAAAACTAGTTGGTGCTCAACTTTTATATCAAGAAAATATTCTCTTCTTCAATTTAAATT